ATAATAAAATAAAAATAAATACGTGAAAGAGTGAAGAGTCTTTAAAAAGTATAATGCAAATAAAACCTCACAAGAATTTTTTCATAATGGAATGTGTGCTCAGTAAGATAAAACACTACAAGCTAATCAGTCTTTCGTGATATATGTTGGTCTGCTTGTGACAGTTTTATCTATATAGAGAAAATGTATTCCCTATGCATATCACTATTATAGATAATTATAGCATCAATACAGATCTTGTATCTGCATTTGGAAAACAGAATGAATTCACAGAAATGCCACAACAAAAATACCAAGAATTTTTTTCATTTTTTATCTCTTTTTGAGTGTAGTTCACATATATGCATTCAATAAATTTTATTTTTCTTTAGTCGATTTGCCAGAAGACTATTTGATTTTATTTGGATGGAGGGGAGCCTGTGTGGTATTATTATCTTGCAGTATTGGTTATGTTACTTAAGAATTTGGAATCAATGAAAATTGCTAAATTATATCCTTGAACTCGTAAAATAAACAGAATTAACATTATGTCGTAGAAACTGCATGGTATAGTTGGATTACTGAAAGCCTTATCAGGAACACTGTAGGTCCTCAGAGACAGTAGGAGAGAAACTGAGGCAGAATGTAGCTGAAAAGTGAAGGTTACTATTCCTTCCTCTTAGTCTGAATTTCCTCAGACATAATCATTTTCTAGGATTGAAAAGCAGAATTAAACTATTACTTATATTTTCTGACTTCTTTGATCAAAATGTTTAAACCTGTGCAATTTCTTCTATTTTTTGAAATTCTCCCTCCCCTTTCTTGATATGCAATTCCCCTACTAAATAGCACTAAGAGTAGAAATTGGAGCTTTTTAGGGATAACTTGCAGCTGTTTCATTCTTGCATTCTGGTTATTCTCTCCCTTCAGCCTCAACTCTCATAAAAGAACCACATGTACTATTGGTGTCTAGTTGCCCAAGCTCAGTGGATTTATATTTTTTTGATGAGGCTAATCTATAGTAAAATAACAGCACATTTCTACAAGAAGCTTATATCCCTTCCCAACTGGTTTCCAATATTACTTATGTCATCTATCACATGGCACATAGAATTTTGAGTACTTACTGAATAACTTCCACAAATAAATTCTGCTTGCTTTTGGCAGCAAGAAATCAAGAAGAAAAGGTGCCAGAAATGTGGGTTGCATAGAAATACTTCTGAATAGTTCAGTATGGAATTTTATTTAATTCTTTTGTTTTATAGTGACACTCAGACCTTGGAAGATGTACCAGGAAGACTAAGTAACAGTGTTCTTCCTTCATTGAGCATGTGTCTTTTGTCTTCTGTCATCCAGAACTGCTCATGCAATAGTGAATTCCAGGTTTTAAGCAGAAAGCAACCCTCATTTCATTGTCATAGCACTGAGCTCTACATTGACCACTACTCCTTCTGCACTCTTTGCTCAAATTCACACTACCATATTCAGGATCTCTCCTTTTGGCTGTAAGAAGAAAAGAACGACTATAATTAGTGATGTAGTTAATGACACATTAGTGTTCTACAAGGAGTCATTTATAAAAGCCAAAGATAATAGAGTGAAAATTCTCATCTACTGGGAAAATTTTGTGTAAATTTACTGTCTTCAGTATAAGGAATATTTTAGAACTCAGAAAATGTCTGGGATCTAAGTTAGGCATTTCAACTATTGCATTATCAGCGACTAGGCAGCAACTCAAATGTAGTTCTCAAAGTCAACAGTAAAAAATAGGAATGATTTATTTATTTATTTTTTGCCAAGCCCTATCTCTGCAATAATCTAAATCCATTTGAGCTGTCCATTTTTTTTCGCTCTCACAGACATCATTTAAATTGAAGGTTGTGTCTTTTGAATTCTTTCTGCAATTTTGACTGCAGCTCAATTTTACTTTTCTAAAATGTTGAGGATTAGCCAGTGCTAGGCAATTGACCTGAATTCCCACAAACTTCTGGATATTTTTGGATATATTTCCCTAAAAAGGTAATCTAACTTAGACACACATTGTAAAACAGCACTGATAAATTTAAAAAAAATGGGAATTATTAGAAGATACAGCAATGGACACTAACCTTGAAAAGAATTACCTCCATTTGTTGTTCATGTTGTTAATCCTCTTAATTAGAGATCCACAGACTGTAGGTAGGGGCCAGACTCAGCCTGCCATTCCTTATAACCCAATTGACACCTACTTATTTATATATCGTCTTTTGCATTACAGGGATGCAGTTGTGATCACAAAGCTCATAAAACTAAAATATTTGCTATTTACCTTATTTCTAGAACAAAAAGTTTACTAACCTATTTTCCATGATTCTTTTTCTCATCAAATATGAAAAAAAATGAGTAAAGAATTTTTAGCTGGAGTCATGAGGATATTCAGACAATACTGAAAAGGCTGTTATGTAGAAGACATGTATCTTATCCACATCTAAAAAAGCAAAACTACTTGGGTCTAGTAAATTTACTCTTGTAGAGCTTAATGCCAAGCTCTATGGCACATTTTCTCAACTTTAGCAATACTGACCCCTGTGCTTGATAATTCTTTGTTTTTGTGACTTGCTCTATGCACAGTAGGATGTGAAGCAGCATCTCTGGCCCCTGCCCATTTCAAGCCAATAGTACCAGTTGTGGCACCTGAAGGGTCTCCAGACATTGCCTGATGTCTCCTGGGTGAAGTCATTTCATTTCACACTGAAAATCACTCTTATCGTGATATTGTGAAAAGACAAAAAATAAATATCATCTCTTCCCACAGATAAAAGACACAAATATTTTTTCTCTGAGGGCTCTGCTAATGACTTTCAGGAGAATAATGTTCCCCCCATTTCCTTCTGAAATCCCTTCAAGTGATTCATTCATGCTGCACTATTACATCATTCTAACAAAATGGAATTTCTTTAATATTATATGAATCTTAACTTGGTACATAGGCTACTATTGGGTGAAATGAATTGTCAACCCAAATTTCTTATTTCCAGTCATCTGCTTCTGTACTCTATAGGTTACCATTATCTCTTAAGCAACAGGGGAATAAAACCATAACTTTTCTTTCAGCACAAACCACATTATCTTATGTTCAAAGCCATGTCAGATTTAAGAAAAAAAATTTTATCCTAACACATTTTTTAAAAATTTGACAGATAAAATAAAGGGAATGGGAAAATATCCTATTTCTAACTTACTATACTTTTAGAAATCCTAGAAAATGAAGAAGCAAGCTAAATTATGGAAACAAAAATTTTCCTGCATAGAAAATTTGAGGACTTTTATATACACATCTTTTCATCTGTAACTGTCTAAGTGGAAAAAGTATGAGATTTTGTATCTCAATTTTGAGTAGGATTTTTCACTACACACAAAACTGAACGATATATAAAAACAAAGGAGGAACTCTAAAAGACACAAATATGATATTTGTTTTTCAATTTAATTCAACTGCTGTATGTTGATGGGCTAAAGATGAAGATATCATCTTCATTGCTTTATTATTTATTAAATTTCTGTATCTAATATAATCCTTTATTTTGAGGAGAAAAATGTAAATACATATCTGAACATATTTGTTTTTATTGTTATTGTTACTTTAGGATTTTTTTTGTCAATAATAGTAGGAGTTCTCTAAAGATTTGGTCCATGTATGAAGGAAAAATAAAAGACAATGGCTTCAATATGAAAATAAAAAAATATATACAAAAGGAATTAAGACTAATATTATAATCTACATCACTATATCCCATAAGCAGCTTATAATTTGTAAGTCTATAGGGCACACAGTTTTAAGTTTACTGAATAAATATATGAATAACTTTAGTTATTAATGGAAATATCTGATGTGGCTATTTTAAGGAAGAGAATGCTGAGAATTTTTTTAATGTTAGTTTTATAGGACATAGAAGAAAATGACTTAGTTCATTTTGGAAGCTATGCAAATCTGTATGAAATTTATTTTTTCTGTATAACACTGGAAAATATCCAGAGATCCTTTTATAAACAATTTTTGATGAAGGAAAAGTTATTGTATTAACTAAATTAACTATACAAATTTATTATTAAAGATTGACATCTATATAACATTTTAATTTATTTATTTTCACTATTATTATTTTTAAAAATTATTTTTCTCTATGTAGTTCAAGCTTGCCTTAAATTCACTGTGTACCCCAGACTGGTCTTAAACCCATGAAGATGGTGATCCTCCTGCTTCCGCCACCCAGGTGCTGGGATTATAGGCATGGACCACCACTCTGGGCTTAAAATTTTATAGAGTAGCAAATTTAAATGATAATTTATCAGTTTATTATGTGTGAAATGTTAGATTACGTTGATGGACTTAGATAACAAGTTAATTTAGTCTTCTGGGCCTCTTCTGTGATTTCTCTTCTAGGATCTAAGTATTAAGCCATGTACTAAAAAATACTGTCCAAAATGTTAGTGAATATGAGTTAGATTTTTATTGTCTCTCTTACAAACTGGTTAGACTTGTGCTCATCCTTTCATCTCAATCTCTTTACCAGGAAGGGAAGAGAATCAATGGTCTCTCCATCTGCAAGACTTACTAGCTCTGTAATCACTGCTTGCACAAATGTTCAGGAGAAGAAACACTTGCCACTTAATACCCTGTGTGAAGAGGCAGTCTCTGGGGCGAAATTCTCTGCAAAACTATAAGGTATGACAAAAGCTAGTTACAGAAAGACCTACAGGGAATATAATTACCTGTGGCCTTGAGAAACAATAACAAGAAGGGATTACTACTAATGGAAAGTAGTGTTGGCATAGGTGAAAAATAGAAAACTTAAATATATCTATACCATTCAGCCACTTACCACTTAATGGTGGATTATGCTAAGCATTTTTCCCAATATGACATGCATTCAGAATAATCAATTTTACTGGATAAAGTTGAGAATGTTAATATGATTATCTTACCTTTAAAATTTTTAAATTTTGAAATCATTCCAGACTTTTAGAAAGTTAAAAAGATTTTAGAAAAATCTTCTCCAGCTTTCTCCTATGTTATACCTTATATCATGATAGTAATGTTTATCAACACAAAGAAATTGTTAAAATACTATTAACTAAATCCCATTTTTATTGATATTTCACCAATTTTCTTACTATTACCCTTTTGGTTTACAGTTTACTTCAAAATGCCATATTAAACTTAGTATAATAACTTTTTAATCACTGTTATCATACTGTTAAAAAGAAACAATTTATACCTCTTCAAATTCATACAAATACCCCCACAAATGTTTGCACATTACGTGGTGAAATTGTGACCCAAAAGAGCAGAATAAAGAAAACAAGATGAAGCTTCATGGTACAGTGTTTCTTAGGGGAAAAAGTGTCAACAGATCTTTTTTAAGTTAGTTATTTTGAAATATGGAAACAGAGAACCCTTTTATTTATAGGCTCCCCTGGGAAGTAGTTTTAACTACAGACATAAATCAAAAGCAAGAACATTTGTATGCTTGGCTGAACAGTGCTGTATTCAAAGAACATGGTCACAAAATAGTATTATTACATTTTCTTTATGAAAGTAAAACCTGCTTGAGTTACCTTAAATAGACTTTCATAAAGACAAATTGTTGTAGGGACTATTTTAATGAGGGCTATGTTATGGATTCCTAAAACATGAGAATATTACAATAATCTGACCCTCTATCATATGTAATATGTAGTATTAAATATTCCCAAACCTCTAGAATTAAATTGTTGATTCTCAAGTGTCTGAATTGCAGGATTTTAGAGCAGGATGTATTCATTACAGAATTTTTTACAAATGAAAATAAGTAAGGAGGTTAAATAATTTATTTCAATCATTATATAATTATATATTATATAATATTATATAATTATTTCAATATTTCAATAATATAATTTTATTAAAACTAACATGATCAGTAAATTCTGGATTCATTAGTGAGCATGAGAAATAGTCTGAAAAACAGGTTTTAAACTATGATATATTAATTTCTTAAGTCATTGACTTCAAAATTTCAATTCTGATATTTTCATCTCAATTTATGAAACTGAAGTGGATATCTGATCCAGTTTGTATACTGAAATTTCACGTACACTAGGAAAAACTGGAAGCTTGACCCAGTACCTAGAAGCTGATGCTATAAAGAGAAAAAATTAATTCTTTCCTTCTGCACAGTTCAGATAATTTCTAGAAAAGTTATTTTAATGAATTTTGTTTGTTTGGTTGCTTATTTGAAACAGATTCTTCCTATGTATTCCAGGCTGTCCTTGAACTCACTATACACCTCAGGCTGGCCCTGAACTTGCAAGGATCCTCCTGCTTCAGCCTCCACTGCTGGGATTACAGGTATACACCACCATGTCTAGCTAACAGAGGTTCTTAAACTATATTAGAATCCCATAGAGGGCTTATTAAATTCAGATTCCAGAACATCCCCTACCTCCACATTTCTGATTTGATAGATCTAGAATTGAGGATAACAATTTGCATCTCTAACAAGACCCTGGAAAAGCAACGTTATTGGAAGAAGACACATATTACTGCAAGAAAAATGACTCAATTTTATAAAACATAAGAAAAAAATGAATCTCAGAGTTATAAAATTTATGGCATAGATTAAGAAAGACTTTGAAGGTGCTTGTAAATTCTAAGCAAATACCCCCATGTGAAGAAAGTTAAATCAAGAGAGATAAACTTACTCATATAGTAATTGTTATCTTTTACTAACAAATAGATCTATGAAATACACATGAATATTTTGGAATAAAATCCAACCTGAAGAAAAGGACTTACCTACATTTGCACTCTGAGAAGGACGAAGAAGTAAAGAATTTAGCATTAAGTAATTAGGGGATGACCACATAACAGGTATTCAATAAATATTATGGAGCTGTGCGATTTAGAACTCAATAAATGATTTCTAATTCATTTCATTATAATCACAGAGCATACAGAATACTGCAAGTTCTCCTATGGTGGGAAGTAATCTGTTGACACGGGTTAAAAAAGAGTAAAAGATGAATAAATCTCTAAAACTGATCAATTTAGCACCTATTAATTGATTTTATTAAAAGGAGAGGCAAAAGTCCCACAAAACCATTAACCAAAGAGAGCCAGAGTAACTATAATAGCATAGACAAACTAGACTTTAAGATAAAAATTTTTATCACAGACAAGATACATTGGATAACACTAAAATAGTCAATCCATCAAGAAGATTCAGCAACTATAAAATGTAATGTACCTAAGAACCGTAAAATGAATAGGAAAAACATGACAGAAAAAAATCAGAAATGACCAGACAATAAGTACAATAATTGGGACCATTGATAGCCTGATTTTAATATTTGATATGAGAACTACATAGCTCAATGAATAAAGAGAACTTAGTCAACCCACTGACACCTATAGAACATTCTCCCTATTAAAAGTCAAATATACATTCTTCTTAAGTGAACATGAATATTATCTAGAATAGACACATATTAAGTTAAAAATCAAATGTAAATATATTCTACAATTGAAATTATACAAAAGATGTCCTCTTACAATAAGTGAATGTATTATAAATCAGAAACTAAATGAAAATTGAAAAATGCACAAGTATATAAAAATTAAACAATACACACCTATATTACCCATAGTTCAAAAGTAAATAGAAAGGAAAATTAGAATAAGAATGAATTATAATAAATGCACCAAAAATTTGGAAGATATTTAATGTGTAGTGAATAGCAAGAGACCTCAAATAGACAAAACGATCTTTGGAAAAGAAGTACAAATTTGGAAAACTCATATTTGCTGATTTTAAAGCTTAAAACCAAGATTCAGTTATCGGGATAATGTGGTACTTGCATAAGACACACTCAAAAACAATGGAATAGAATTCATAGTGCACAAATAAACTCATATCTCTATGTAAACCAAGTTTTAATAAAAATGCTAAGTTATTTCTGTGGAGAAAAACTGGTCTTTTCAATGATTAAAGAGAGGCTAACTAGATACCCATATGAAAAATAATGAATTTTCACTAATGCTTCAAATTATATACAAAAATTAATTCATTAGAAAAGCCATAAAAATTTAAGAAACAATTTATTTTGTGTGGGGTTATAAAAGCTCTTTTTTATAAAACTATTAAAAAACCAGAAAAATAAGTTTACAAAAGAATAATTTGCTTCATATTTTTCCAAAAAGGAAAAAAGTATAGGAGACAATGCCACTCAACAATAAAGAATTCATTTTTAAATTTTATATATAAAATACAAGGAAAGGATAAACATACTTAAAACAAAGCTGAGGAGCACATACACTGTGCTGGAAACCCTTCAATAAAGTAAGGGAGAAAATCATTTTCTCTGAATCTATGCAGCACATACAGAGGCCAGGATAACTAAAAATTAAGTATGACAAAAGACAATTGTGTGATTCTACCAGTGCATGTTGCATCTATAATTTACCAACATGGTTGACAAAAATCATGGTCACTTCAACCATATTTCATTTAAACTAAAGAAAAAATCTCTTAAATACAATGGTTACATTCACACTTTAACTTCCTTAGTACCATACTACAGATTTCAGCACTGTTAAGGTATTACAAGAATGCCCCACTCTCTGGTGTTAGATCATGAACTTAGAAACATTGCACTATAAAAGAAGGATACCCCAGTCTCAGTCAGTGAGCTAGTTCATATGATTAAGCAGTTTCCTCTTTTACCTTTCCTACTCAGAGCATAAAAAAACTAACATCAAGGAAGACTGGGAGTTTTGGAGCTGGCAAAATGAAAAGTCTAAATAATAAATCAAAGCAACAATTACTAAGAACTTGGCTGCTGTTTAATTTGGCAAATCTCAGTGTTTCCTTAAGTCTTGCAGGAATTAGGGGTATAAGGTTTCTTGCAACATGTTCATGGCAAACAAACTCAGTTAAAATATTATTTCCAAATTTTCCAAAAAATACTTCTGGAGGGAAAAATTGAATTCACTAATTTCCAGAAGACAAAGATATAATTGCCAGATGTATACAAGCACACACATATGCACACCCACAAAATACTTCAAGGGTTTTATACATATTATTTTAGTCCATACGCCAAGTACTATACCCCTACATCCCATCAAGAAAGGAACAAAAACAACAAAAATCCCAATTTTACCCCCTCTAGAAAATCTTCCCTCACCCTGATGTACAAAATGTCTGCACAGCAGAGGCGTTCTACCAGCCAGCCTTTCCATTGTCGTGGAAAATGGCAAGTATTCTGGATTTCTTCTTATAGTGGTTTTTAGTCAACACCATTGTGACATTTGTGAATTAAGCTTTCAAAAAAGGGTGTAATTTAAGTATTTGAGATTTTAAAAATATGCGTTGAGTGTATCCAAGACAAAGAGAGAATGACTTGAGGCTGAAAACCAGGCTATAGACACTTGATGTCTCCATGATTAAGCAATAAAACAACTTTCCATTTTCAGGTATACTCAGCTTTGTCCAAGGCATAAAGAACAATTTTTTGTCCTGGAGAGCAACCAGTTTAATTTCTTCATCCTTTAGTAGGAGGTGTGCATTACTTGCTCTGTTTAAGTATTGCAATCTAAATGTCATAAAAACCACAACCCAGGAATATTATAATACTTTTTAAAGTATCAGTAAATCTTCATTACCTTGCAATAACTGATATTTTTTTATTTAATACCGGAAGCAAAAGGTAACAAAATAAAATGGACTTTATCAACACTAAAATCTTTGTACTTAAAAGACTTTGTCAAAAATATTGAAAGATAACACACAGAATAGGAGCAAATATATAACCCCAAAGTCTAGCATGGAGAATATAAGAACACTTACAACTTAATAAAAAGGAAAACAAGGTAATACAAAAATTAACCACTTTTTGGCAGGCCACTGCACCACTGCCCCAGTGTGGAGGAGGTGATCCACAAAGGGGACAGCAGCACATATCACCTCAACCTCCCATTGAAATGAGAAGACACATAAACAAGTCTCAAAACCAGACTTCCAGATCACCTAAAGCAACTCCAAAGGGAAATGAATGGAACAATCTGATACTTAACCACATAGACTCCCTGAATTGGCAACAAAAGAGGATCTGGAAAAAATAAAATCAAAAATAATTTCTCAGATAACAGCAGAGGTTGTTCCCATAGTGCAAGACATGATCAATAAATCTAGACAGAGCACAGATAAAAAAAATTGAGGAGCTAAGGAACATGATGGAATCCCAACATAGGAAACAAATAGAATCCATAAAAGAGATGCAAACAGATTTCCAGGAGATGAAAAACTCCATT